GCAAAGGCTCAGGCATGGCACGATAGAATAACTAGACCAATTGGGTCTCAATGACCCCATGTCCTGGGATGGCGACTAATTCGTCCATAATTCATTTGAGTGCCCTGACACTCCTCCACTGACATGAGTGGGTGGTTTGCAATTTGTCAAAGGCTTTAATTCCCCTAGTGACGTCTGCAAACCGCTCGCGGAGTAACCTGAAAAATTCGCTTAGGGGGGTGATTATGGAGTAAGCTACCGTATCATTTTCACACTTGGCGGTGCAGGCAAGCGATCGGGCGAAGCTAGACGCTTCACTTAAGGGCATGAAAGGCAATGAGGACTTGCTCCTCAGGTAGGATCTTCTGGAGGTGGACCTAATAATTAACGTTCGCCTCCCAGTTATCAAAATTTTCTTCCTTTTTCCCACTGTAAGAATCAGGAAATTTGACCTTCATTGGCTCCCTACGTGGGCGGGCTTCCTCCTCCTTTGGAGCTACTAACTAGACTCTCTCGATCGCGCCTTTGTAAAACCTCTCCATATTCGTTAGCCGGGCTTGCATCTCAATGTCCATGCGCATCATCATATCATGCGCAAAATCTATAAAGCCTAAGCGCATGGACTGCAGGGCTATATCATGGCCCCTCAGATAATTCATTTGCTCTTGTTGAACCCGGATCATCACTTCCACACTCTTACCGATGATCTCCACTTTGTTCTGGAGATCCGCTTGAGCGTCCAAACGTGCATGTTGCTCCCTTGAGGCGGCCAACTCTTTCTCCAACTATGTTGTCACCTCTATGCGCCTCTTTCTCTGCCTTTTAAGGTGCAAGTTCCACTCCATTCTCTTCTCCTCCTCCAATGCCTGACGCTGCAAAGGATCCTGCACTGCCTGGATCTCGACTATTGCTGCGTCCCTCTCATCCTAGGGAATGTACATCATTGCTTCATCTTCTCCCAGGGATAAATTAGCTACCCACTCAATCACCATCATTTCGAGCTTTTTCTCCTCCTTAGTCGTGCCACTCGACTCTTTTTTTTCTGCCCTCCTGGCACGTCTCTCAAGGGGATTCTCTTCTTCTTCTTCCACAACCTTCAGCTTTTCTTACTCCAACTTCTTTTTTGTCGCCTGTTCCTCTAATAAGGCTTACTTCTTCCACTCCTCCTTCTCCCTTCTCTCCTTCGGCACGGCGGTGAGCTGCTCTTCCTGCTCTTTTGTATACGGGGTGGTGGTTGTATCCTGACGTGTGGTCACCATGGTGAAAGATGCACAACTAGGTAACAGTTCCACTCCTCACCACTTAGACTTCCACCCACTGACTGACTAACTAACTGACTCTCTAAGGACCACAGAGTTCTCCCGCCAGGTTACCACAGTCGACGAAAGCTTTCGCCACCACTGTGCTTTACAATCCTCGACCCAGATGCCCTGCACCTGCGGTCAACCCACCTGACTTTCACTCCGGTTCAAAACCCTGTCAACTAGGGTTTCAAACCTAAACCTACGGCAATGGCTGTCACTACAGGACTTCATTGCTGATCAGGAGGCATTTAAGGAGATCCCCCATAACTCCTCAGGAATTCTTTAACGTCGCAAACAGAACGACGCGATCAGCAACTCTCAAGACTTAGACATCCGGTTGTGCAACGCAACTCTATGACCACATACAGGGAGTTCCTATCACGTGCACAGAAGAGACTCAATGCAGAAAGAAGAGACAGACGGACTCAGCAAGTACCATGGGGGAAGTGCACATCCATAGGGCAAGGGGATAGGCTGAAGGCTTGGCGAGATTATACCGACTCCATCTTGGTCAAACTTTGGTCAACGGCCTTGGTCAACACTGGTCAACACTGCAGTCAACAATGGTAACCACCTTGGCCAACGCTGGTCAACATCTTGGTGAACACCTCAATCAACTTCAGTAAACTCGGCTATGGCTGCCGACCCCTTCTCCTTCACCAACCTCCACCTTCCTCCTTCTCCCTTCACCCTTGGCTATGGCTTCTCTCTCCTCCTTCGTCTCTTCTTCCTCCTTCACTTTCTTTCTTCTTTCCAACTTTATCTTCTCACTCACTTCTAGTCTCCTCCTTCGTCTTCCTCTCCGTGTCCGAACTTTACGGCAATGGCCGCCACCTTTTTGTATCACTCCTCTCTCTCTCTCTCTCTCTCTCTCTCTCTCTCTCTCTCTCTCTCTCTCTCTCTCTCTC